TATCTAATTGTTTTCCAATTCAATGGAATTGGGTTGAAGTGGAACTTTACCATATTACCTCGGAACTTCTTGCATACTAACTCTAACTTTATAAAGTCTTTGATAGTCTCGAAATACTTCGAGACTATCATAATGTGGTAACTGGAAAGTCCACGCATTTTGATATTCTAATTTTTCGTCGTTTAAATATTTCCAAAAAATCCATTTCGTTTAATTGGTAATTTCAAGAAAATAGTGTTTTAGACAAATATGATGGATTATAACTCAAAATTTGCTGTATTTAAAGAATAAATAAATTGATAACTTGAATGCCAAAACCTACATGTGTAAAAATAAGTTTACTTCACAAACGATGACAAGAGCTGTAATAAAACAATAAATATATGAACTTAAAATATCAAGACAAACTCAAAATTGGTAAAACTGAACTTGATTGAGAGAAAAAATATAACAGAAAGACCCGTTTTATTAAATAAAATATAAGAAAAATATTGGTGTAATAATAATATGGGCCGAAACTATTGATTGGAACGTCCAAATGACTTAACAAAACAGAATCAAAAATACAAAAAACTAAAAAAACTGCGTCAAAAAAGTCGAAAAGGACAAAAACTGAACTTGAAATAAAATAAGATAAATGCAATAACATCGAAAACGAACTTTGACTCTTAATGAATTGAAAGTTCATTTGTTTTATTAAAAAATTAAAATGATAATGCAAGTTTTTTTTAAATATACAACATGTGATTTTTATAAACAATTTTAAATATACAAATAAATATAAATATAACTCGAATAAACTAAACACATTTAAATGCCACAACTTCAGTCTGTTTTTCTTAAAAATGTTTTACTTTATTTGGAAACTCTCGACGATATTCTGAATTTTATGTTAGTGAGTCGGATATGTAATGAGTCTGTCCAAACGATGTATATCAACTCTTATAAATTATCACAGCACAATGCAATTTTAGATATTTTAGACTATTTCCCCAGTCTTGAAACGATGTTTATTGATTCTCCCAAAACTGGCATTTCAAGTGCAGTTGGTCGAGAAATTCCAACACTGGAATTTACTCTTTTAAATCCAAATTACAAATTATCGAAAATTTTAACATCGAAATGGCTTCCTTCTAAACTTAAACGTCTTAAAGTGGTTCTTCACACCTTTTCCGATTTACCTTCGGATTTTTCAGTTTATGAAAATCTCACAGAAGTTTCTATTGACGTTTTGTATATTTATCAAAACAACAAGCAATTCATTGAAAGTATTTTGAGTCAAAAATCTCTCAAAAAAGTTGTGTTATATTTTTCATACAAATTTTTGGTTCATTTATTAGACTTTGACTATTCAACAAGAAAAGACGTGCATTTCACTTTCGTTGTGAACGACGAGAATAATTACATTGGCCAAAAATCCACCAAACCATTCGACTTTAAAATCATCAAATTATTTCCAAAAAATGTCAACATTTTCTTCACGTTCTTGTCAAATGAAACGGCCGACTGTGTGTATGTCCCCTTCCACTCACGACCCTTTTACAACAAAACTTTAATTAATCAACTTCGTCTTATTGAAGATGCTGCAAATAACACTGAATTGGTTGCTAAATACTTAGAATCGACTTTAATAGAAAGCGTTGTGATGTGTAACTCGGCGGAAAGAAGAAATATCAGATATGAATTAAAAGATCCAATTTCGGCGAATTATTTTGAGTTCGAAAACGTCAAAGAAATTGAAATTAGTGATTTTATGTTGGACAATTTTGTGCTTCCAAAAAACACGAGAAAAGTCTGTTTGAAGAACGTTGGTGGAGTTCTTGAGATGTCGAAGTGTAAAGTCGAGAGTTTTGAAATGACTTTTTGTGATCTTAAGAGTCTTGTTTTGGACGACGAAAAGATCACACATTTTGATATTCATAACACAGAAATTTCTCTTGTCCACAAGAGTAAAAATATAGTGACACTTTTTATATTAATTTGGATCAAATTGAAGTGTTTAGGGTTCAAGACAACACTCGGAATTCAAATG